TGTAATATTTTGTAATGGAATACAATATTGTAAGGAGGTAATAAAATTATTTTATTCTATTCAGTATAGATACTAGGCATCTCAAACTTGCCTAGTTTTTTACTTTTCCATGAATCAAGATTACAGGCCGATTACCGGTTGATTAACATCGGGCAAGACACATTTGTCAGGAGGACGAATGGACGGAGCATAGGACTGCAATATATTACTCCGTGTCATCGAACGAGATCACTATCGGCAGATCGTTATCAGATGCGAAGCGAAAAACGTCGTTCACAGGCGCGTTGAACTTGTAACTTGACGTTCGTTCAATGAACAGCCGAATGAGAACTTAATGGATGTTCAATTAACACCGAAAAACTCGGTGATAGTGACACGGCGTCAAAGTTAATTGTATAAAAAGATTAACTATAAAGTACCGAATGCTGTTAATGTTGTAAAATTTGATACTCTGGGATAAACTAGAAATTATATAAGAGTGCAATTATAGTGATGCCAGTATCAAATGATTCCGTCTCCCGATTTACAATTTTTTAAAATATTAATTATAATTGAAAAACGCATGCATTCTTTAATTGCAATCTCATCTCAGTCGACATCAAACGATGATCAGATCAATTCAAATCAGTTTGTCTTTTTTGGACTCATGTATTCTCGTTCCATAAATTCCCCGGACAATCCAATGATTTTAATATCGCAGATAATAATTATTAAGATTGTAAATGCCAATATGGTATATCAATGCTAAAGAATAATTGCATCTAAATTTGTGCTTCAAGATTTATTTAAAATTACTTGAAAATCTCGAATATAAAACTTATGCACTTTGATAAGAACCGGTGGCCTTCGTTGTTCGATAAATCGAACAAAACTATTTGCCACCGACACCTGTCACTAAAGGTTGCAAACGTACTGTGAATACGATCGTGGAAACGTGTGGATAAGATCGTGAATCGATTGCAACTCCGTTTGGTTAATTAACCAATCAAACCGGCCGTGAAATTTGACAGAATGCCGTCACGTGTTGTATTACTAATTGCGAACTCCATTTTCGTACGACCAGTCGATCTGTTATTCCCATTGAAACTTTCTGCTATAGTTAAATTTTTATTCCTTTCAAGTGTCATGCCTTAAATTAGAAAAGTAGGAATTTATAAAGTACCAAAAACTAAATGATTAAGGAGCATAGAATTTAGAATAATTTTACATTGCACGATTATGGTAATAAGACAGAATATGCATGAAATATTCCACCAAAATTAGAACGTTCCTCCTTGAGAGCTAATATTAAACTGCATTTGCATACCTGCTTAATTGCCTTCTCTAGCCTGGTTACACTTAGGACCCAGTCTTAGCGCAAACGGCATAAAGTTCGTGAGAACTAGACGATTTCCGCGGCAGAAGGAACCGACGAGTTTCACCGTTTCACGTCTCGTGTTTTAATATCGCGCGAGTTATTAAAAAACCGCGCGTTACATTCATACATATTAATGAACCAGTTTCTACTCGTCACGCTTTTAATTTACAAGATCATTATATTGTCCAGCGCATACTTTCTACTCCGCACCGCTTTGTTTGACATAGATTTTTCATTTTACGTCGACCCGTTGTTCCAGTGATTCCAGTCAGTTTCAGAAAATTCGTAAAAGCGTTTGTCCATTCGAGTAAAAGGTCCACCGTAAAGTAAACAGTAAGTAAGTAAGCTTTCATCGACCCGCAGTTCGCCCACGCGAAAAGTATCATTCTGAGCACCTGGCCAGGCTCACAAAAACTCGCATCGATAAAGTTGCAGATATATTTAATTACATTAAATGCATTCTTTTGATAAATCGTGAATAATTTCGTTCTTAATCGTTTTCGTCGGATCATTATTTTATTTCTTACCTTATGTTTGAAAGATATCACGTTTCCTAATTAGGTCTGGCATATTCATACATTTGTATTGGAGTAATATCACCTTCAGTATAAAAATTGGAATATAACATGAGAAATGATAAGAAAAGGACAGATTAACGAAGAAATGAATATCGTCAATCGTTAGTTGGTATTCATTCTGTGGGCGCATAAAATTCGATCCGGAGAAAAAAGCACGGGACTAAAGAGAAAGGAGACGGATGAAGAGGCGATAGAGAGAGAAGATGAAAGATGCATTACACGCGCCGATGGAAGGTGCGGACGTACACCTGAGAGCAGGTGCATCGCAAGGTCTCGGTCCTCCCGGCTCGTCTCTTTCTCTCGTGGCACTGTCTATCGGACAATCGGCCGATCCGGGGGAGATGAAATTGATCACGTTTGGTTTCTCAGTTCTTTTCTCTGCGGTTGTTTCCCTTGGCCGATCGATTGAAAAATTAAACATCGTTGTTTACCGCGGCTGGTTGCGCCATTCGGTTCCAGTCATCGGAGTCCCCTGTTCTCTCCGGTGAACGAGTTGTTTTCGCCAGTAATCTGGTACTTCGTGTGTGATGAGCTGAGGAATTTCGTATTCACCGGATCTTGTCCGATGCGTTTCTCGCATTTTCAATAGGAAACTCTTCTTTTACTCTGGACGGATATACTAACAAATATCTGGCAAATCTTTCGTGACATTGCAGTGCTTAAGGATGTATAGGCTATACACTTAAACAATGTCTATTATAAATTCCTATTACTATTAAAAAGCTACCTGCAAAATTTTAAATCAATTCATGGGTTTATTGAAAAATTATAATGACTTAAAATTTGCATGTACTCAGCAGTAACCCAAAGAA